TATATATATATATTAAAAAATCACAAAACCTTGTCTTCTGTAAATCATATATTAATAAGATTTTTTGCATCACTTTTTTTTAATTAAGTATATTACCATGTAATGTGCACGTTTTACATTTTTTTATTACTGTAATGCAGTCATTTTTATAAAGAAATAACTTAAAATAATTGCAAAAAAATGATACCAGATAACAACTAATACCATAATGTATAAATACATTACAATTTCTAATTATAATAAAATGTTGTAACAAAATAGTTTTTTTGCATTATAGTCATGAGAATTAGAGGTGAAATGTGCATAATTACCATGAAAATAGTCAAATTATTAGCAGGCATTACTCCAGTCTTCAGAATCACATGATCCTTCAGAAATCATTCAAATATTTCTGATTATTATCAATGTTGAAAACAGTTTTGCTGCTTCATATTTTTGTGAAAACTGTAATAATTTTTTCCCCATGATTCTTTGAATTGAAAGTTAAAAAGAACAGCTTTTATTTGAAATAGAAACATTTTGTTACATTATAAATGTCTTTACTGTCACTTTAATCAATTTAATGCATCCTTGCTGAATAAAAGTATTTCTTTTCTAAAAAAAAAATCTTACTGACCCCAAACTTTTGAACAGTGCTGTATGTATATGTTAGTACACTCCACCCACCCGTGCTCTATGGAGCAAAGCCTTATCCAGCAGTCGTTTACGAGCCACTAGCACAGGATTGGCAGGTGAAGGTGTGTGTCGTCGTCTTATATAATTAGCACCACTCATCGCTCCCGTTCCCACTGCTGAACGCGGCCCTTGGACACCAGTGTGCGGAGTACCCTGTGCCAACGAGGTGACGCTGACAATCCGGATGTCCTCATCTTGTTCCCTACCTTGTGCCACCCTTATACCTGCCGAACCCGTCCTGGAAGACTGTCCTCCTCTCGCATCCGAGGACGATCCGGCCTGCTGGGAGGCAGCGACTCGAGAAGCTTCTCTGAGGAGGTTCCTCAGCTGCTGATCACTCCAGCCGGCTGGCCGCGTCTCACAGCTGGTCACGTCTCTGGCTGCTGTTTGCACCGGCACCGGATGGCTGCTGTTCGCAGCCGCTCCGTCCTGTTTTCGAGCTCTCCCTTGAAACTCCTTCAGGAAAAGGAAGATGGCCTGTGCAGACACCTTGATGTTCTCCAGCTCCAGCACGGCTTTGATCTTACGGAAGCTCAAACCTGCTTCCCGCAGCTCCACCACCTTGCGCTTGGCAGCGTCGTCCAGTCTGCCCATGCTGGAGACCACAGTACCGACACTGAAAAGCTGGTTGGTTCAAGCAGATCCTGAAATCAAAAACAAAAGTGATGTTACCTGGAAAATTATGTTCAGAATGAAAGACTACGTCCACACAGTGTTATAAATTAAATATAAAGACTAATTAAATATAAAGACTATGTCCACACATAGAATTATAAATATATATTTGGCAAATATATATTTTTATAACATACATACATACATACATACACACACTCACATACATATATACATATATATATATATTGGTAATACAAATATTAAATAACTGAAAACGTAAAAGATCTTGTTTGAGATTCAGGGTTATTATAGTTAACTAAAACTGAAACTAAAATACATACCATTAAAACCTTGTTTTCTACTTGAAATAAAATAAATGTTAACTGGAATTAAATAACATATAAAAAACTTTTCATTTTAGATTTAGTTTCACATGACAAAATTTATAAATATAATAAATACATTATATTACATTACAATATTTTGATAATACTCAATGATATATATATATGTGTACAATATTTATATTCATTATTTTAATTTCATTATTTCATTAATTAATAAAGAAGGAACGTTGTTGGATTCAGGGTTATTATAGTTAACTAGAACTAAAACTGAAGCTGACTTAAAAAAAAAAAACATTTTTGTGACTTGAAATAAAACGTTAGAATAAAACTAGAATAAAATAACAAAACACGTGTGTGTGTGTGTGTGTGCGTGAGTATACACACACACAAATATATAAACAAAAACCACTAAAAATGACAAAAACAAAGCAAACACTGAATGGATTAAATTATAAATACAATTTATTATAATATGTTGAGATTATATATATATATACACACATATACGCACACACACATACATAGATTATATTTAGTGCATCCAATAAATATCTTTATTAGTGCATCCAAAATAAGTTTTTGTTTATATAGGTGTGTGTACTGTGTATATTTATTATGTATATATAAATACACACACATGCATGTAATACCATTTCTATACAATACCAAAATATAATTTTGGGATTTCTTAAAATGATTTAGAAGAAGAAGAAGAAGAAGAAGAAGAAGTATATACTGCATACTGCGTATTATTTGTTTATATTCCCAACAGTAATGCTATCACGTTCCACACTGGTTTTTAGCTGGTCTGCCAGTCTGCCAAACACCAGGAAAACAGACCACCAGAATCAGTTAACCACCTTAGACTGGTTTTTTTTTTTTTTTCTCAAAAGGGTTAGACCAGCTGCCATTTTCCAAAAACTGAAACCAGTTGAAGATTTTCAAGCAGGGGGCAAGTTCAGATTTATGTAGCGACAATGCATAGGTATCTAGTGCACTAAAACACAATGGAAATCAAGCATCTCTCACCTACTGCGACTTTGCTCTTCTGTTATTTATGTTTAACGCGACGATCTGCTCCATTATAAAGACACATGGCAATGCTCGCATGCATATCCGTAACGTGCGTCTGATAAAGTCAACACAACAACAGTATGTGTCGTTGTAACGCACACATTAGTGCTTTACTTTATGACCATTGCATTAACACACGCCCCGCCTCCGTGCGCCTGTCGCAGGATCAACGTCGTCACGCCTGCGTGCTCACGCAAACGTCAATAAGACGCGACGGTAGTTACACTCCTGAGGTTGTCGCGCTTTGCTCATTCATCATGTAAGTTTGACTCTTTATTTTGATTAATATTTATAATACGCGACCACTTTTGTGTCGTATATGAGGTTGAGTGCACGCAGAGAGATACTAGCGGTGCTTATTGTTATTAATTATCGACATTTTGCCTAATCGGGTTCAATATCGGCGGGATTAGCATTAGCTCAGCGCGTTGAATGAACCGAGTCAATAAACGTAATTTGTGGAAAATAAATAAAGCCGTCAAATGTTAAGGATTTATATTATTTATATGTAATAAAATATCTGTTTTTATACTTTTAAGGTAGGAATTTCCATGCAGTGCATTTGCTAGTCTAACTTACACGTTTAATGTCTTTGGTGAAAAATGCGAATGTTTGATATTTACTACTTTATTTAAAACGATTGTTTTATATGCTTGGATTATTCTAAACAATCAACTTTCGATTTATATGAAGTGCACTGCATTGAAACAAAAACAGGTTGTTTGCTATCTATCTATCTATCTATCTTTAAAATCATGTGCCATGGCATTCTTTGTAATAAATTTGCAAATTTTGAACTTAGTAATAATCTTAACCTTTTGCTCTAACGGTTTGTGCACGAAAAACATGCATTTATCAATACATAAAATACAACTGACAATACAAATAAAATTCATTTTATAAAGTACAAACAATATTATAACAATTTTATACAGCTTTCGATGACTAAAATGTAAAAAAAATAGTAATAATGAACATGATCATAATAAAAATCAGCAATTACATCATTAGGAAGTCATTCTGTTTACAGTTATCTCAGATTGTTACATTTAATGGAGATTTAATTTAACTTTTAGAGAGCTTATAGTGGTTGTTATAATTATTTGCATCATATAAGAGAGTTTTATATACTCTTCACATTTTTCATTCGCTGTTTTGATGACTAAAATGTGATAAGGAGAGTCATAATAAAGATCTAATGAACTTGCTTGGAGAGCTAATTGTGGTTATTGTTAATGATAATTTTATTAATCAATTCGATCATTGATCATTGACCTTATTTCCCTCAAGCGCATGGTGTGATATAAGCATGAAAAACACATTAAAGCTGTGAACAGATTCAAACCACGGTACATTATGAGTGTGACAGCTCACTAGTTTAGGAGACAGGCTATTTTAAATAAATGTGATGCCATTGTTTTTTTGTTTTTTTTTCACGCAGGGCTCCATCACCGACCAAGCGCAGCGAGCGTTCGGAGGACAAACCCAGAGAACGAGGGAAGGAGAAGGCTGCTGGGAAAGAGGGAGCGGAGAAGGAGCGAGGCCGAGACAAGATCCGCAAGCGCCGCAGCAACTCCACCGGCAGCAGCAGCAGCAGGTCAGATGGGATGGAGTTCAGGGTTCATGTTTGTTATGAGACTTTCACCCTTTTCTAATCACGTGTATCTCATTCGACCTCAGTTCCAGCTCCAGCAGCAGCTCTGGATCCAGCTCGGGCTCGTCCAGCGGGTCCAGCTCTTCTGGTTCCAGTCGCTCTGGTTCGTCCAGTTCCTCCCGTTCGTCTAGTTCATCCGGGTCCTCCGGGTCTCCCAGTCTGAGCCGCCGTCGCCACGACAACCGGCGCCGCTCACGATCAAAGTAGGTTCTGGGCTTTTTCACCCGAACACTTTATTCAAATGATGTTAACTAGAAAACCAGGCATGGCACTTACTGAACTTGTGCTTTTAACCAGGTCCAAATCACAAAAACGGGCTGATGAGAAAGAGAGGAAGAGGAGGAGCCCGAGCCCCAAACCCACCAAACTTCATCTGGGAAGACTCACCAGGAACGTAACCAAGGTGTGGTTCAACATCAGCATTGGTGTTTCTCAATACGTCGTTTATATTGAATATGTCACAATATTCTGTTTATTATATTATTATTGTTACAGGGTACTATTATTATTGTATTATAAATGTTCTCATGATCCAAAATATTTTGTAGTCAATACCAGTGAAATTTCACAATATCACAGCAAATCGAATACACTATTAAAGATGCTTAATTTGTTAATATAAATACATGAAAAAAATGTATGCTGCCATTTTATTTAGTATTTCTTAAGGATACTACATGCATTTTTTCCATCCACTGGTCACATGTTGCTTCCATAACATGTCTTCTTTCAGACTAGCATAAAAAAAACATCCAAATGCATTTAAGTGTTATATTTTATTAAACTTGATCCATTTCCATTTAGATTTGAGCTGGAAGTCTCAATTTCAGCAGCTCTTACATACACTAAACTTTCCAGTGGGGCTGTACGATAAATCACGATTAACACTAAATCTTGCGTAAATCGACCTGTCTAGTGCAATTATGATATTGCAAAGGCTGCGATTATGTTTTTATGCAAAGTTTGTCTGTGAAGCACAGCTCTTTGATCAGTAGGAAGTGCTTCTCAGTCTGAAATCACAACGAGTTTGTAAACTTTTTTTTTTTTTTAAGCATTTCAAAGCATTTTTACAGTTTTTCAGGTATCTAATAGTATCATACAGTATTCAATACACATTCAGAAATTAGAAAAAGAAAAAAAATTATCACTATCTAAATGATGCAAAAGGTACAAAAACTGTACACTTAAATAGCACATTTATACATGAATTTTTGAAAATGAGTTATTCAAATATGTTTAGGTATTGATGTACTAGTACTTATTCATTCTTCAGTACTCATCTCTGCTGTACTGATTTTTGCTGATCTGCTTCGGCACTTGCCTTAGGAACATATTCAAGAGATCTTTTCGACTTACGGCAAGATCAAGATGATTGACATGCCTCCTGACCGTTTGCACCCGAATCTGTCAAAGGGTTACGCTTATGTGGAATATGAATCTCCAGAGGACGCCCAGAAAGCCCTGAAACACATGGATGGAGGTATGTGTGGCGGGATTAAAAAAAACAACGGAATTGAATCACTTGTTATTGTTAACTAAAACCATAAAAAATTTACTTGAAATAAAATAATAAAAAATAACTCAAAAAAAGTATATAAAAAACGTTTTATTTTAGCTAGTTGCCAAGGCAACATATCTCATTTTCAATTTAACCTGATGCACTAAAATAACAAACTAATACTGAAATAAAAATTATTGAAAATAAAAGGGTTTCTGTGGGTCTTAAGAAGTCTTAATTTGCCACTCCACAAATTAAGGCCTTAAATGCTCTTAAACTGGAGCAGAATGTCTCAAATTCATCATGTCATGGCATTAAATGTTGCATTCACTGCAAAAAAATGAATATCTTCCTCAATACTTTTGTGTTGTTTTCAAATGCAAATATCTAAACATCCTCAAATCAAGACACATTTACTTGAGATGCAAAATTGATGATTAGTTTTGAGAAATTGAATACAATTAAATGAGTTTATCAGAAGGTAGAGTAAAAGATTCTATTCTATATTCTAGTTAAGCTATTTTTTTTGTTTATAAAATGAATTAAAGGTGGGGTAAGCGATTTTTCAAAAATTCTTTAAACTGATTCGGGCCGACTAGCAAAACAAACTTGTAGCCAATCAGCAGTAAAGGGCGTGTCTACTCATGATGTGGATGAGAGCGCGTTCAGTGCACAGGACGGACATTAGCCGAGCCGAGCGACAGAAAGATAGCGATGGCGGATAAAAAAACAAAAGAGGAAAACATCTGCGGAACAAAAGAAGGCTTAAGGCAAGAAGTAGGACCCGTGTAAATATTG